AAATGCTACAGATAATTTTCTTCTGTGCAGATAATTTCCTTCTATTGCCTATAAAAACAATTACGGGCTTTTAAGAAAGCTTAAATGCAGTGAATGAGTGATCTGGATCAGACAAAGGTGATAATGCTACAAAAAAGCACAGGGCTGTTTAAGGGAAAAGGCGACTGTATCCATCAAAACATGCATTCTGAGGCTGGGATGACTCACGGCACACCGAATGCTTTCTCAAGAGAATTGATTCAGTGCTGTCAGGGGAGGGAGCATGGGGGAAAGGGAAATAATTATGTAGAGTTTTAAGCATGAGAACAGAAAGTTTTAAATTTGATTTAATAGGGAGCTAATGGCAAGACCAGCCTGCAGCTCTGGTTGGAAGTCAGGTGCTGTTACAGTGGGTGCACATTAATTCGTGCTGCAGGTTTCCAGCTCCTGCTTTTGTCTGCACAAAGGCTGAGCCCTGACCCTGGCTACCTATTCCTAGAGAGGCCCTGAGGAGGAGTGAGCCACGGACCCCCAGCTTTGCAGAACCCTGGAGTTAGAACTGTAGGAGGGCATCAAAAGTCTCAGCATGGGTGCTAATATGTGTGCATTCTTGGGACACAAGGGATGCTGACACAGAATATTTCCTAACTCCCTCATGCTGTCTGTTTAATGGATAGATAATTAGCTGTTCCACTATACTTGTTCAAGCTGAAGTCACCTAAATATTTGCCCCTTACGGTCCTGAATTATTTTTCTGCATGACTTCAGGGATACAGAGTGGTTTGTGGGCTTCTGCTCTGGATGTGAAATTGCTTTGTTATCTATTTTCCTTATTGTTGCTGTGTCCTGACTTCCACTTGACTAGACCATCATTACATTAGCCTGCCAATGGCATTGTGGCAGACCCCTCTTGGTTAGTCTCTGAGCATTTCTCTCGTACGAGCCCTGTGACCCAATGGATTATCGTGTGCTCCTAGAATCTGCTGTGGTGGTAATTTTGAGCTACTGCTCTCCTGATTCTGGCTTTACACAGTATTTTGGTAGTATCTGCTTATAGTATCAATCCTCTGGATGAGGTCTGCTTTCCCTTTCCTTCTAGTGAGAATTAGGTCTTCTGTCTAAATAGTCATCAGCTGCTTGATCTGCAGGACAGGGGTCTATTGGCTTTGTACCAGGTATACTGTAATGTTGTGTAAGCGCAGAACATTAAACTGTTCCAGTGTGGGTACTTGATACAACTCTTCCAAGGAATACTGACGGATTACTTCCCCTGATTGTGGAGGTCTTCTCAGGACTGTGCTGCTGTCTCGATACCATATCCCCTTGATGTTTTGAACCCCTTTTTTTTACCTTTTTGCTTCTGAATCAGTTATTTGTAATTGCTAAGAGTTCCCGCAGTCTGTTCCAGGTGTTCAGCAGAAGGCTTCTTAGCTGAGTCCTTCCCTTGTGGAGCTCTGCAATCCAAAGCCTTGAAATCTACTCCGGGGATCTCCCAAGTCTTGTTTACCCCTCTTTGCTCAGACTGTCCAGTGTATTAAGAACACTTCCTTCTGCTTTAAATCCTTCACGGACAGTGTTCTGGAAAGTTGAATAAGATAATTTTTGTAAAGGAATTTTTCATTGTAATAAATTTACTCATAAAAGGCATTGGAAAGCTACTGAGCTCTGAAGATAGCAAGGGTATTAAAATGTAGCCTTCTTCAGTCTGACTTGCTCCTTCTGTGGAGACAAGATCTGTAGTCCCCAGGGGACTTCTCCCACTCCTCCTTTGTGTTCTGCTGCTAGGCAGCGACTTGAGCTCTGCCACTGTAGCCGCAGGAATTTAAACGTTCCTGTCCCAGCTTTCTTCCTCACCTCTGCCTCTGCCTCTCTACCCTGCAGCACAAGCGCATGTGGTGCCAGCTGCTGCGGTTCGCTCTCTGGTGTATTTGCAAAAAAACTTCTTCATCTTGGAGAGAGGTAATACCTTCAGCTGCTAAAGTTAAAGTCTCTGAAACAGAAGTCAAGCTGTGTATCGATAGCATCTCCCACTGTTCTTTTTTTTGCATTGAACTTCAGCCTCTTTCTGCTACAGTTCTGTGTATGAAAAACATTTTTTCAGCGGTCAGTGAGTTAGAGGGGAAGAAACAATGTAAAGTGCTTAATGGCTTTTCCCTGATGGCCTTTTAGCAAGGTGTCAAACATCATTCCTACATAGGGCACCGCTCTGAAATACAGTATAACAATATGTCTTTATGGCATGATCAGAATTGTGTTCAGTACATGATGCTAAATGGAGTCCTCATTTTCTAAAAACCTTATCCCACCCTACCATACCGTGTTTTAATTTGAATGGAAAGATAAGGCTATCATTAAAGCAGAAGGAGAAGTTGCAGTAGTTAGGAGGGGACTTATACTACCGCTCAGCATTTTAATTAAAGAGTCCATCTGAACAAACAAGAGTCTTCACATAGAAGTAAAAAAAAGAGCAGAATGATTTGAATGTGAGACTAAGAGGAGAAAAAGATAACCTCCAGACTTTGAGACAATTTAGAATTTTCTAAACACACACAACACTGTCTTGAGCTTGTATTTACCTGATAGCAGTGTTTGAATATCAGATAGGTAAACTTATGGAGAAGTATTTATAAATATCAATATTTCACATGTTGGCCCTGATTGAAAATACAGCATAGTGTAAAGGAACACCAGCTCTGGTACAATTCCTTGAGCAGCACTTCATGTTTTAAAGGCCAACTCTCATAAATTCCTTAAAGTCTGTGAAGTTACTTGAATTTTCATGAAACTTTCTTTAACTTTGTGGATTGATGAGGATGTGACCAGTCAACTAATGTCAGTTCAGCAATGCACTCCTGAGTTAATGCCCTTAAATAAAAAGTACTTTTAAATAATTGATATGTTAGCATTCTTTTTACCTTTCTGGGAACTTAATCGCTTCCCGTCTGGTTGCTGTCATTCAGTATCAATTTTAACTAGTCTGTAACAGTATTGAAAAAATTACTTGAAGAGAAGAATATGGATTGAAACATGCACGTCCAACAAGATGAGAGAAAGAGGTTTTTGCAGAGCTCTTTGGCTACTTTTTAGAAGACCAGATCAGGAAAGAATCAAGAGAAATTCCAGGAGCAGAACTGTGTGGGTGAGTGAATTAGAAGAGAGAAAGGTGCATTCAGATGTTTGTTTTGCTCTCCCCATGCTATTAATCCACCCTATGTTAGATTAACTCATTCCTCTTCTAAAGCACCTCTTCCTCTTCTTCCCAGAAAAACCTCTTCCAATTAGACCACAATGTTACTTATTGTTCATGATTCCCTGCCACACCATTGCCAGAAATCCTAATATTACTTCTGTTCTCCCAGGATTGCCATGGTGTGCCAGGCTGCTTGCTCTACATGCACTCACAAAGTGTGTTACCACACCTTCTCCTTCATGCTCCAGATGCTGGAGGTTACTGGCAGTGGGAATTGGAAGCTGCATGCCCTCTTT